GTTCAGATATCCATGCCCGGAATGCAGAATTACAGCCAAAGTTGGCAGAAACACTGATAGCAATTATTTATATCATATGTAAAGTATTATATGTCGAGTACTGTACATACTATAAATGTACAATGTATACTATGTATGTGTAGTGTTACACAAAATACGTGTAACATTGATACCAATTATGTATAATATGTATAAAAATATTATGTATACATACGTTATATTACAAATATGCACACGTGCACATGCAAATATATGAATAAATAAATATGTTCCCTTCTCATTTTCTTACATCTCTGTAGACATAATCTTGGAGAACTTCAATTCAAATGAACAGTTATCTACTGCAAGTTCATTCTTTATTTTAAATTTCAGCAAAATCATTACGCTGTTTCAGAGAAGGCAGTCAGAGTATATTATGACATTATAATATATATTATGACATTATAACAATGACCTCTTGAAACATGCAGATCTATAATGAATCTTCCTCCAGAACAATAAACTATTAAATTCTTGCAGTTAATCAAAGTACCCAACTATGGGAGGAAGTAATTCTGGAGAAACTGAAACAGAAACTGACACACTCTGACTCCTTAGAGACATATCTTCATACCTAACCCAGCCTCATTCTGCAAAAGAGCTGGAGATCCATCCTACCAGGAAGCTACTACCCCTATCCACCTGTGAACTCTCCCGCTTCTCATCTGAAGTATAAAAAGCTCTTGCTGCATGAATATTTTGGTATGGGTCTGTAGTGTCAAGAAGGCTGACCACCTCCACTATAAAAAAATATACTGGAAAGTGGAGATAAATGCACTTTTTCCCCCCTATGAAACCTCAAGGCCTTTTTTCTATATCTTAGTAAGCATACGCACATTGACAGTAATACAGGCAGAAATTCCTGCTCCTGCTATCTGCACATAGTTTTACAAATGAAGCTGTAGTGTAGTAAGCTGCTGCTTTTAGTGCTCATGCTATTGCAAAGGGAGAGTTAGCAAACTTGATTGGCAGAACCCTAGCAAGATTACAGGAAAAGTCAGTAACCACTGAAAGACTACCTGCAGTATAAGACAGAAGGGAGAACACATTTGCATCTTCATCTGCACTCAGCTGCCAACTTGAATTTTAATTATTATATGGAAAAAATTCTTTACTGTGAGGGTGGTGAGGCACTGGAACAGGTTGCCCAGGGAAGCTGTGGATGCCCCATCCCTGGAGGTGTTCAAGGCCAGGCTGGATGAGGCTTTGAGCAACCTGGTCTAGTGGGAGGTGTCCCTGCCCGTAGCAGGAGGGCTGTAACTAGATGGTCTCTAAGGTCCCTTCCAACCCAAACCACTCTATGATAAGCACTTAAAAGACTTGCATTCTCTGACAGTTTGACTAGAAACAAAGCTCTTGTATGGTCTAGGGAATAAGTCTGCTTATGTAAAAAGGCTGCACAGCAACAGCTTAAACTTCTTCACAGAAGAAACATGCCAACTCCTTAGCATATTAATGACACAAACCAAAAATATAATTGGCCTTATATTCTCTACTTGAAGGCACTGATTTCCAATACATATCACAGGTTTACAAGCCAACAATAAAGAGGAATGTTCCAACAAATCATAATGAATTATCAGCTTACCATCAACAAGGGAAGGGATAGATCTCTCGTTGTCTGAATTTGAGAAAAGGATCAACTCCTTGTTAATGAAGTCATTGTAAGTCAAATGTTTTGTTGCTGTACCATATAAAAATTGCTGAAAAAACCACATACATTATTCATTCAATACAAAAACTACATTACATTTAAACCTCACCCACCAGATTTATTACTACTATTTAGGACTCACCTCAGGAAGTCCATGTAGCCGACGCTGTCGCCTGTCCTCCATGAAGTTTGTTAACCATTCTTTTCGGTCATCAATCTTCTTCTTACTGAAGGCCTGAAAAGATTCCAAGTACACTAAATTATCAGCATATATATGATTGTGTATATGTATGTTACTTTAGTTAGAATTTTAAGTGTACTGCACTATCTGATCAGGTATTCAATAACACTTATCTGGACAAGATACTCTCACTGATCATAATTTAAATTTATATTACTTTCCTGAAATCTCTACACATTTAGACAAACCTTATCATTCTTATTCCTCTCTTCACATCAAAGTTGTCCTTTGATACACAAGTTTAAAGGTGTTGGGATCTTTCCCCAAATAACTTTAAGGTCGGGTTCATTGTTTAGACTGAACTATAACCAGCTGTCATCAAGAAAATTAACTGAAGGTATTAAAAAAAATACCCCATTCTTCCTGTCCTCTTCATGACCTGTTTGCTCTGTCAGACACAGAATGCCAATAATCTCTAGCTGTTCCTGAGTGGCTGGCCCTAGTCCTCTTGAGAAAATTGACAACTTGACAAAATTGACACTGCATGAGAAGACTAAGCCAGAGCTTCAACCAGCTGACTAAGGCCCTCAGTCTTCATGATGACAAGGTGTTACTTTAAAGCAACCACTTATCACTATAAAAAAAGACATAGGAATGTTCTGAAAGACTTTGTCTTGTTATGGAAACAGAGTTCCCCTCCAGTGAGTTTCTTCTCCAGAAGACTAAGACAAGAATACATAAAATCTGAATATGTGGTTTAAGTAAAATTTCAACTTTGGGAAAATTTTGTGAGCTGCTGAAGTATTGCCTTTTTTTGCTCAGGTAATAATATCTAGAGATTCCATCAAGTCCTGATTTCAGCCCTCTCCTGCATAAGACCACTGTCACCAGGTCTATCCTTTTTAACTGGCACAGTCCAAAAGAGCTCAATAAGTAATTTAATTTCCCTGGAGACCATGGTATTGCATAATAAATAGTAAACTTTAGTAACTTGCTCTCTCAGAAAGAGTACATGATATCACTCTGTTTTGCCTCAGGTTGACTTCCTTTGTGAACAAAGCTTGACAATTCACAACGTTAGACATCTGAAGGCTTAAGATTAAGCTTTTGTAAAAATATGACTAAATTCTTACAATTTTCTGCTGGCTCCTTTCAATGTATCTATACTTTTTCTAGACCACTGAAGTGACAAATGACCAAGAGCTGGATCAGCATAAAAATTATTTTAATAGAATAAAAACAGAATTAATAGAATAAAAAGATTGAATAAAAAACTATTCTCGAATATTTATTTTTGAATAGAATAAAAAAGTCTTTTCTTTCTCCACTTAAAACTTCTATTCTAAAGACTTCATTTGCTAGCAAAAGTGTTTTTCAGAATGAAGCAGAATTTGCTATGTGAAATAATAGAATATTGACATATTGACAGAATATCATTTTAGACAACGGTGAGGATCAGCCATAACAGGCTATATGATCTCAGATATAAGCCTGTACATGCAGATCTGTTTGCAGAAATATAGCTCAGAATTTTAATCAGGGAGTTCAGCATCTCCCCCCCGAATTGGTTTAATGTATATACTGTAATGGAAAGACTGTATGATCTATACATAGTATGTATTAAACATACTATTTTGCACAGAAGGGGAAGTGGTGATAGGTGGCCCAAGTGGAAGACCCCCCACAAGCCACCTTCCACAACCTTCCAACCGGAACAGCATAAAAGGCACCAGATCAAGCAGACATGTGCCAGCACATCACCCAGGACCCACGATTTAGCAGATGACTCTGAATTTCACTCATTGCTGGAACCTAGGGTGGTTATACCCCCCTTTCCTATCATCTTTATAATTTCTATTTTTTCCACACTTCTTTCCTTCCCTCTCCTTACTCTTCTCCAATTCTCAGATAACATACAGTTAAAGCATAGATACATACATACATATACATATATATAGTTAAAGTTACATTCCTGATCATGTTATGATATAAGAATTATTGTGTATATATATATATATAATGTAAAAATTCAAGTTGCATTTTCGATCACATTCAGTTCATGATATAAGACTGTTGGAAAAGTTTATTGCTTGGTGTTGGCACAATATAAGGTTTAGGCTTACATTAGCTACAGTTATACCCTTTACCACACAGCCACTCCTTTTGTGTAATCAATAAAGAAATCAATTGGATTTTCTTTGTCACTTGGCATTAATTCTGCCTTTGTTTACCCACAGGGGATCTCAGAAGCTTGTTGCAGTCCATTTCGGGACCTAGGGCTGCTGATTCAGACTGTAACATATGCAAATACACAGACTCCTTTTCCATCTAGATGAACACACTTCTCCAGCATGGGGAACTACACATATGGATTATATTTAAGTGCATCTTGGGCAGAAGTAAAATGAGTGGTACAAATAACTTCTGACACAAGGCTGGTTTTCTTCAACAGAACAGATATCTGCTATACCTTTATGTTAGTAAAAACACACAATTTTACCAGATCGGAAAAAGTCATTATATAATGACACATAAGCTCTCTTTGAAACACAAGTACTTTCCTGCACACAACTATCTAAAAGATTTCAAATTCAAATATGTATCACACATGCGTGAGTATAACTATGCCACACTGATATATCTTCAGCGAATAAATAATATTTATCTGATCATATTTGCTCAGAAAATAAAATTCAGATACCTAAATAGATGTGAAACATCATTTGTTCGGGCTCTATTGCCTTACTTTTACTCTTTTGTGTATTCTGTTTTTAAAAGCAAGTCTGAATGCAGTATTGCTTGATAACCACACCACATCACACAAAATTGATAAAAACTACTAAGCAGAAGGTAGAGCTGTGTAGCATGGATAAGGCTCTTACTCCAAAACGTAAAATCTTTTCCAAAAGCTTCTTTCTCTTCCAAAAGTATTTTTTTCCATTACCCCCCCCCCCCCAAAA